GATAACCAGTTAAAAAGAAAGAACGAATATCAAGGAAGCAATTACAGTCTTACACAGAAAACTAATTAGGATATCAATGATGTAATGGCATGGCTAAAGTTCACATACTGTCATGTAACTTTTGGCCTAATTTTCATTTTTGCATCTGTTACTGTCAGTCTTGTTTCTTGTTTAATTTCTTAAGGTTTTTTAAATAACTTAATTATGTAATTTATCACCTCTCTTTCTGGCTATATTAGTTGAAAGCATGTTTTCTCACTGTGATCTAGTCAATAGTGGAAAGGATCACACAATTCAATGTATAGTTTACCATCCCCAGTTCACAGCCAGAACATCTAGTCATCATTATACTAACATCAGAGCTGAATATTAAGAGAGACCTGTGCAAGAAAACTGTGCAGATACCCTTTTATGAGCTAGTTGTCCTTATGTAAAGGCTTTGTGTGTTGAACTGCAGCAAGGATGTGTGAGCTGCAGTTGGACCATTTGGGATTGTTAAATATTACTAGTAGCAGGTCTTGAAAATAATTTTCAAGAACTAAACAGGAAGCTTAGGCCTACTGAAGTCAGAGCACCAAGCTTTGTCCCTAACCCTGTCACTGGCTGGTTGTGTATCATGCCATAGGTGACCGAGTCCCAGGGTACCACATGCGTTTCTTCCCTGGGAAAGACCAGCTGATGGCTCACCAGTGGAAGGGGTGTTCCCCTCCTGATCTAATTGGGAGAGGGAGCTCCTTCTTCCATACTTCTTTTGCTTCAGGAAGATTGCTTTAAAAAGCATAAGGGAGAACTCTTCATCAGCTGCCTTCCCTCTGACCAGCAATGATTCTATCTAATACTTATCAGACGTAAGGAAGGCAGTCACCTAACATACACTGCACTGCTCCGTTAGCCTGTTCTGGTTAGCCCATACCAGCTTCCACACATATGGGAAAATTTGGATGGTAATTTAGCAAAATGGAGTCAGGAATCCCACAGTCTTCATGACAACAAGCAGAAACAAAAAGCAGTTGACAGGGAGTAATAAATTTCCTAGTATTCAGGAAACGCAGATTGAGAAGTAGTACTGCTAGTTCCTTTCATGCAGGCAGGAATTGTCAAGACATCTAAAAGACCTGCTGATATTCTTCTTGTTAAAAGCATCTTTTTAAAGTCTCCCCCTGGGTGTGAGACAATGTTTAAAAATCAAAACTTCATTACGCTGAAGTAACACCTGTCTCTGCTCTCCTTTTGACCCTACAATCTCCCATATAAGTCAAAAAAGGGGGAGAAAGACAACAAAAGGAAAATACAAATGCCCTGGGGAAAGAAAAAAATAAATGGAAGAGCAGAGAAAAGGATGTGGAATCTAAAGAATAGTATTAAGGGGTTTAAATCTTAAATGAGACAGAAGGTCTCAGCTTCAGAGCTTGCAGCATCTTCCAAACTCCAAGAAAACAGGAAAGAATTTAGCAGAAAAAAAGCAACAACCATTTCCATTTTCTCCTTCCAACTTAAAAGCCTTTCTCCACCTTAAACTTTTTGGAGACATAATTCATTGATTTTAGGCCTAGAAATAACCACTTTAAAATGGATGTGTTCGCTGTACATTAATTCTTTGTCTGCCTGAATAACAGATCAGAAGCTGTTAGACTATACCTCCACAACTTCACAGGTAAGGTGAGAATACTAGCAACACTGAAGAGACAAGTGGGAATGCAGAGAGAAAAATTTTATTATACTTAAAGATACTGTGCATAAACATACATATTTCATATTTTTCTGTGTAGAGTGTAAGATGATGGTTAAAGTCAAGGCCCTGAATGATAAGGGTTTTGGCTAAACCCTTCTTCTAACAGTGCTTAAACTCCATCAAGACATCTGACTGTATACATTACACTGCTGAATTTAGGCATGAACCCTTCTGAAAGGATATTTTGATGCTCCTTTGAAGTAAAAAAAAACCTGCTAACCAGAAAATAAGTTATCTGCAGCACGAAAAAGAACATGGCACATTCATATCCATTTTGACCCAAAACTAGAGGGTAAGGTATCTGGAAATTGTTGCTTTATCTTACAACTCTTATACAAGGTATATTGTTATAAAACTAAGCAATCTCAATGTAATACTGCTGGTTACAGAAGCAATACATGCTTCTGTAAAATGGACAATGATTATCTTGTTTATCATTAAGTCCAGCACCCAGTTCTAGATTTCTTACCTGACCTAATCTAACACTGCCTGGGAAATGAAAGAGGAAGGAGCTTGGGTTTCAGATAGTGAAGGCAGGAAAAGTTTGTTATCGTTTGCACACAAAAGCTTTTCAAAAGTCAGAACAACAGAACACTTCTAGAGGTGCTTGAGCTGGAAAATACTTTCTGCAGGCAACACACAATGCATCCAACATCCAGCTCCTGGGCAGAATGTTATTTATTTATATCATCATGGAGGGTAATAACTAATTAGTGCTAGCTCTCCTTAGAAAGGTGAGATAAAATGACACAAATGAAAACAAAACTCACTATTCCTGTCTTGTATGTCAGTCATCTTTCTCCCATTTTTGTCTTACAGTGAGCATACCTCAGTTTATTTTAGCAAATTACTATTTTCTTAAATCAGCAGTGATGCTAAGGTAGTAATGTATTTAGAAATACTGGGTAGTTTTCTATAGGATAATTGTGTTACTTAAAGTCCTGTATGAAAAATGAGGCATTTGAGGGGCTCATTTATGATATTTTGTAATAATTAGACCATATTTTGTTGTATTTCTATGAACCTTATTCTTACTTTTTAAAATTGCTTCAACTTTTCATATAGCTTAATTCTAATTCATCTCTTTTACTGGTCAGGATGACTTGGTCATTCAGAATGGGTATTAGTCCTTAAAAATATATTCCACAGTGATTGAATATTCCAGAATAAAACCTTGAATCAAAAAATTTCCAAACCTACTCAACTTTAGTCTACATGTCCTTAGGCAAATGGCTACTGGCTGGGACATAATTATATATATATATATATTAAAAAAATGGGAAAAGTTAGCATATGTCTCTAAAAGGAATTAAAGTGTGTATATATATATATAAAAATAGCAATTTAGAATACCCTTATAAAATATTGTATTGTAGTGTTGATTTTCTCTATAGCTGAGTGTTTTCCTCATTTCCAGAACTAGGCACAGAGCAAGTTAAAGACCAAAATATTCCATAAAACTCTCAGAATTGCCAGATACCCCCTCCCCCCCCAAAATATAACACTGAAGCAACTACCCTTTTGAAAGGTGAGCAATCTACTCAAACACACACTTGTTCAGGAATTTGAAGGAAGACTTCTCTTAAGGCTCTTGCATTACCAAAACTGCTTGACTAGCAACACTGACAGCTCTTAAAAACGAGATGAGCAACACTTAGATTCCACCTGACCATCATGTGCTCAGTAACAGAACGAGACAGGATTTTATAGTCCCCATTGCTGCAGAAATAACAAGGAATCAGCTCAGAAACTTACTGCGGAACTCCACAGAAAAAATCACACCTTTCTGATCTAGTTTTTCATTCCAAGAAGGAACGTAAAGGGTTATAGAGGATGAAATCTCCTCAGTTCTTGGAAGGAAGCCATTCAGTTCTCTGTTCCTCTAGCTAATGAGATATCCTGCAAGCTGCAAAAGGCCCAAAACTAGTCTGTTACCTAATAAAGTCATACATATTTCTTTAAATGTCTCTTCTTCATACTAGGGAGCTTGCTCTGGTACCCACAGAGCAAACTGCAAACTTACAGCTGACAGCAGAATTAAGACGAGGGCATAAATAAAGAAGGAAATCAAAACTGTAAGAGCATCCAGGAAGAATAAAAAAAGAACATGAAGAACTGTACATATGTAATAATAGTATACAGCCATGTCAAACACCACAGCTGATATCCTTGACTTTGACCAAAGAGCAATATAGTAATTATGGCTTAACTCCATTTATTTATAAACACTTCTGAACTGGAAAACTACTGAATGCTATTAATATAAGCTAAAACAACCCTAGTAACCCCCCCTAGAACACTAATAATTAGTTTATGAGGTCCCTTGTGCCTTGATTTCCATGGCCTGGCTCCTGTTGAAGGGTACATAGAGTTTCCTGTGGCAGTGCAGATCCCAATTCTACCATAAATCATCTTTTGGCCACTTCAGAGGTGGGAAGGGGATGAGCTTGTGAGTCCTGAATTACAGACTTGTAGTAATATTCACAACGTCTCATAAACAGAAGTAGGTTAACAGAGCTGATTAGCAACCTCCATGCCTTAGTAATAACTATTGAAACACTCAATCCTCATACTTGTTATTCTGATGAGCCAAAATCCATCACTGAGATGCCAAATAAGCAGCACCCCAGTGCATGGCAGTACCTGAAAGCAACAAAAGAATTTGCTCAGACTTCATTTGTGCATAAGCACAGACCTTTAATTTTCTGTGTCTCTTTACTAAAAAAAATGGTGAAAAAGAAAGGGAAATGCAAAAGCACATCAACGGTATTTGCCAGAACAACTTGCAAACCATCTACCATAGTTAAGACTTGATCCAAAGCCCACTGACATTAATGGGCTGAGGATCAGATCCTTATTCAGCTTTTGGAGCTAATTCATCTTTGAACTGACAATTGTATATTTAGGCTGCAATCTTTGTATATACCTTACTTGCCTCAGAGTTTTGAATACTTCCAAAGATGGAGATTCCACAGCCTTTCTGGGCTTCTGTGTCACTGTTCAGCCATCTTCATGATGAAAAAAAATTCCCAGTATCTTAAAAATATGGAACTTTGCTTCTTATTTTCCTTTTTTTTTTTTCCAAATCACATTAAATGCTCATAATAAAAGGGAACAGAAGCAGATAAACAGCCATACATTGAAAAGAACCAAGAACAGAAGACATGAAAGCAACTTACATTTGACTATGTCAAAAGAGACACAGAACTGCAACATGTTGATTTTATACAAATATGCTCAGACATCATCTTGCTGAGAAACCACTCACCTGATCTCGGGAATATGGAGTATCCACTATGTGTTTGTCTGAACATGCTGCTAGAAGAATCTTCATTGCATTTAACTGGAGCAATATTTCACAAGCCATGGTATCAAAGAAAGTAATATTGGCAAGAGCTGCTGAAGCCAGCAGGAAAACTTCACCAGACGAGGCTTCTTGGCACAGTCCTAGGAATGCAGAAAATAAGTTGAATAAAAGTCGTTCCTTCATTGCAAAAAAAACATGGTTAGCGGTTTCAAAGCAATATTTAAGTATCTGCAACTTATATTCGTAATCTCAGTGTCTAAGATCAAGTTCATAATCATCCAGATAAAAAACAAAACAAAACAATCATCTCAATTCTGTCAATTATATAATATGTCACATTGCTGGGTGCTTTATACGTGATACTAACATTAGGCACCTTCACTTGAACCACAGAAGCAGGGAAAGACGGTGAATACAAACCTAGAAACCAAGTGTTTCTAACATTCATCTAATTAATGGGATAGTCTACACAGTATGCCATTCTACAGGGAACATCCCACTGAATGTTGTTCAACATAAAGCTTGATATAACTAAATGAAGGAGGCAGAAAGCTAATAGTAACTCTTCCATAAGAGAATAATTCTGCTATATATCCTATTCTTTAAGAAAGGCATGTATACCTGTTGGCTATCTGTAAACCTATTTCTCCATAGTCAAAGATTATCCTGCATATTTTCCAGCTCCAGCAAGAAGCGCTGAAGACCCAGCTACCTTTTAATTCCTTGCACACATGTGTTTTAACTAAGATCTGAATCACCTGGTAATTGATTTTCAGCATGGTTTAAAAATTAAACATATTACAGTAATTGAATTACTGAGTTATAAATATTACAAGGAGACTAGTGTGTGATTACTGAAAGGTCTCTTCCAAACTCACAGATTTTCTATTTTTAATGCTCACATCTCTTGGGCAAAGTATATACTACTAAAATTGCTGTGGAAGAGTGAGAGTCAGTGAAATGCTCCACGTGCTGCTATCTCCTGGATAGGCTGTTCAGATTTTCCCTTGACTGTGGTACACTGTAATAACCCGGAGAATCACCTTAAATAAGTCAGGTCAGATGACTATAGCAGTCAAGCTACAGCAGAACCAAGCTCAGCACAGGTTAATTTTGCCAACTGAATTCAGGGCAGCTTCAAGGCAGAACCTTCAATATTTGTTGAAGGACAGTCTGGTCATCAGGAATAAATTTTTTCCTTGATTTCTACAGCACTGGTTCTGTTTGGGCATATCAAAGAATGCCTAAATACATCTCAGATAATTCCCAGCCACTTCAGAATCCTCAGGCACTGGCACTACAATACTCTTTTCTTGTTCTATTAAAAAAAAAAAAAATCCCAAAAACATGCATGAAAATTGAAGTGCTGTAGTTTAACTGTAACTATTGGACTCAGCAGAGATATATCCAGACATATTGATCTATTATACAGGAGAAATCAAACTGGGTGACCCAAACTACGCTTGCTGACATGAAGTTCTGGGAAAATGAGTTTCTAGATGAGCGAGACAAAGAGAACACTTGACTGAAAGCTTCTTATATTTGAGAGGGATGGAATACAGTGCCAGAAATAGATTCCTCTCTTTAGAAAGCAATGAGTAATATCATCTTATTTTTCTGAAGTGTCCTCACTGAGCCACATTAAGGAAAAGCTTGCTGTTACCTTTGCCTCATTTTACCATGGTTCAGAGGCCTAGACAAGAAAGACAGCTCTTACGACAGCTCTTTTATTTTCCGGTAACAATGCCCATAGACTATACTATAAGTACTTTTCCTCTGCAGTATCATACAAATGTAGATGCACTGGTGAGCTTGAGTTCTAGCAAATTTAGAAGATGCAGCTGGCATAAAGGTTAGCCACCATTAGAAACTGCTCTTCTACAAACAAACATGAGACAAGAGGACGGTTTGCCAAGTCCTGTGGTTTTTATGGTAGAATTTCACACAGATGTTATTTTGGCAAATCAGCATACATTCTATTCAAATATGGACTGGGGTAAAAATTATTATGTAATTGCAGAATGCTCTGATTGAGGATTTAAAAGGACTGAGTTGTTTTATCTGTTAAGGAAAGAATGGCAATTATTTAGGGAATATTTCTAATGAAAGAGAGTCCTACTCCAACTTATTATTTTAACTGGGAAGACTCAAAAGTCCCATAAAGAACTTACTGACAAGTGCTGTTACAATTTCTTCCATATTTTCCAGAAAGCTGCTGAGATGCTGAGTGAACGTGAGATGTGGAGATGTGATCTGCGCAATTACTGCCGCTGCTTCTGCATGAGTAGCTTCAGAATGGCTGTTATCAGTAAGAATGTCAGCCAGGCACAGTATCCCGTCAACCTATGGAAGAAAAATAGGTATAGGTTGGAAATACTCCAGGAAATGCTTTTGCAACAACAGATTGGTCTACAGTTCTCTTTTCTTGGCTGTGGCTAAACTATTCAGTTTATTTTAAAAAAATTACTTAAACTTGGTGGCATTTATGATGTAAGAAGTTCCAATTTACGAAATACGAATGAGTTCAGCATAAAAGTCTGTTGACAAGCAAAAAGTCTTGTATTTCCTTCTCCCTTAATGTTTCTGCTGAATTGCTTTTGGTCAAACGAACAAGTCTTTTCTGACAGACATCTCAAGTTAAACAATCCAAAAATAAACTCTGATAAACAAATGCTAACTGCTACTATGCCACAGACTCATTTAAGCTCTTGTCTGAGTGTGTCCCACTGAGAGACTCGAGCTTGAGTGTGCAGTAAGTTCTTCACAAACATAGATTTTTGCCACTTTTTTCTGAACTTGACACAAAGCCTATGCAGCATCAAAAAATACTATTAAGGAGAAACCCTGGCCAAACTGCACCTGATGAGCTTGCACAGCACTCATATTGAAGCTAGGTATGTATATTCCTTGCTTACTTGGAAAAGAAACAGAAAAATTAGTAAAATGTACATAGGTATAAGCTTTTAGAGTGCCTGAAGTGTTCTAAATTAATTCGTTACACAGTTTAGGCAGATACATCTTCTATGCACAGCTTGCTCTGGATTGTAGGAGACTCGCTGACAGTGAAAGACTGCAGCAGAGCACAGCCAGTGGGATAGCTTAAACTGCAGAAACGATTCGTCTGCTAACAACCAGACCCACGAAGGAAAGTTCTCTGCAAACAAGGACATCATCTGTGAACTCTCAAACAACAGGACTGTGTTTCTGCCCCCTATTTAATATATCTCTGAATAATTCATCACATTGTCGGGCAGGTAGGCAGACGTGCTTAGAGGGGACAGAGCATAAAGATTTATGTCATTAATCATCAATACGTTTATGTCAAATTCACATCAATTCACTAATTAAAATCTTTATATGAATAAACCCAATGTAACTATAGGGGCAGTTTACAAATGATCAGAGGTTTTACGAACTTCACCGAGTAACTTTTAAAAACTGGCCATATTTATTTATTTCTTTATCTGAAGTTCTGAAAAAGCATGGGGTCAATTGCTTTGTATGTTGATTGGACACTGTATAGATACAAAGAGGAGCTGTGAAGGCTTAGCACTGAAATATACTTTAACAGTCAAACAAAAACACTCCCCAAGACTCTCTCTTAGTTCTGTTGTTCAGACCACATTCTCTGTCTATTCAAAGCTTCCTCAGAACATGCACATTAAGTCCTATCCATTATCTCCACAAAGGGTATTTAACAAACCTCTTACTCACGTTTTTGTTATTTATTAATACAGAATGTTGAGTTATCTTAATTACTTGTCCTGAAATGGGCACGAATTAAATTATTTGATAAGCACTGACAGTTACCGTATCTTACAAGAAAAGCTCTCAGATTGATGGGAGCAAAAATTACCCTCTGGAAGATCATTCATTGGGATGCACTTTTTAATAGGCAATAGACTGTATTATTGGAACTCTAATAACATAGATAAATACAAAAGAAATTATATCTCTATTTTGCCTCAGATTACAAATGGGATTTAGTATAGAAGCTCAAGTACTGGCAAGAAGAGGAAGAATAAATTTTCAACATTAAACTTTTTCTTGACAAGCTTTCAACATTAATCTACCTACAGCAAAATATTTCCTCCTAGTTATGGCAGAATTCTACAGCTTGAAACAGCAGATTCACATAATTCACTTGGCTTCAAGGTATATTAATAGATCTCAGTGTCAAGAATTAATATATGTCTTCACAAGATGATTTAGTAGCCAAAGTGTGCTAGACAATATCATATGCAAAAACCCCCAACTTTGTCACCTTGAAACCTCCCCAGATCACACCTTGTCTGGGGTCCAAAGGATGCTAATAACAACAGTCAGTATAAAAAGTTAAATATATTCCAAGGCATTCAAAAAATACTTCTCAAGAAACTTCTAAGATCTGGTAACAGGATACAGCACTCTTCAGCTCTAAATTTACTGGTTAAAATTCTCTTGGCCAACACTTACTCAATGACTTTGACAACAATACTTCAAAGTAGTTCTATGATTATTCAGAACAAGTAATGGCTCATGAAAGACAGGTACAAGCACACGGTCAGATTTTTTTATCACCACTGATTGTTTATATCTGCGCTATAAAATACAAGCTTCTAACAATACAGGGCTATACTCAACTTTTAAATAACATATTTGATTTTTTTATTTGATAAGTAATCGTTTTTTGAAATTTGGAGTTGCTGAATTGTAAATAGAAGAGGATATATGTTTTTATTCATCATTAACATATTTTGGATCCTTGAAAGCCAGCACTACTTAGCTTTTCTTCTTTTGATTGAGAATCATGTAAAATACTAACAAACTCAGCCTAAAATTTGCTCTATACACGTTTGTCGCTCATCTTAAATATAGAAAATAAAATAACTCTACTTCAGTAGGCAACCCCATTTATAAGTGTCTAGCAATAAATTTTAAAATGACAGGGGAACAATCTAATAAAAGCACTTTAACATCCAAAAAGAAATTGCTGCTCAAAGCATTTTTATAATTAGCTTTCACACTGAAAGGAACTTTGGATGGCTGCCCTGTTTTCTGTTTAATTTTGGTGAAGTAATCAGCTAAATGTCAAATCTGTTCATCACCTTGGCAATACAAAAGAACCAGTTAGCCAGATAATGCAAACAAATGAATTCCATGAATGCAACAAGATGCTGTGGAGACCCTGTATTTGAGGAATGGTGTTCAGTAAATGCTTGATCACTAATATTTCAATATTGATAACTGGAAAAATGCCAGGAACTTACATCCTTATGAGCATAGCCCTGTTATAGAAACTTAATCCAAGTGACAAAATAAATGTGTAACCACTTTACTGCATAGATCAAGTCTTCTGAAAGGAGATAATTTATTTTCTCTGAACAGAAATGAATGAGTTCTGGGGCAGCCCACTATTTTCTTCAGTATACCTGTTCTTCCTCCCAAAAATATTAAATAAAACTAGGCATCTGTTAAAGATACTAATACAGAACTTGGGATGAATTACATTAATGGCTTCATGATTTGAATTACACACAACAACAGTCTTAACCTTCTGCTTTCCAGAAGGATATTCGAAGCAGGCTTTACATGCCACTCCAGGAACCAAGACCCATTACCTTTTTTTTAACAACGTCTGTCTTCGTTTATATAAAATGCTGCTTTTCTCATACTATGACTTTTTCTAACATTCCTGTTTGCCCACTCTTAGCATTCAGATGATGTCTACATATTGGTAAACTTTCTCAAAGGTGGTTTGTTTTTTTTTTTGCATGCTCTAAATTAATCTCCCAAGTCATCTTGCTGAGACTGGAAAGCCTTACAGGCTATTGACTGATTTCCCACTGTCAGATCCATTGATAACACTACCAGCCTACAACTGTGTGCTTCTGGTAAGGTTCCAAAGCAGTTTTAAAGGAAGAATGGAAGGGAGATGTTGAGATCCAGATATAAGACAGCATATATGGAAATAAGATCAGAGGAAATTGCCTCTTAAACATTGTCTTAACCTTTGCAGGAGGATAGAGGAGAATTTCAAAAGCAGAGGCTGCATCAAACAGCCAAGAATTGACAGATCAGAGTTGTGGGTTTTTTATCCTTTCACACATACTGTGTATTAGCACCTTCAACCTGAAGCTAGGACAGGTTAACTATATAGGTGAAGACATGAACATTAGCAGACTAAATAGAAAATACATACCTGGATAAAAACCCAAACACATTAAAATTTATGGGATGAAGAAGAGGGAGACAGGGAGGGAGGGAAGGAAGGAAGGGAGGAAGGAAAAGTTATATTCAAAAAATACTTGAATCCCCTACTCAGCATTCATTGAACACAATTTACTTTGCTCCCTAGATCATCGCATGAAATCACTTCACTATTCTGGAACTCCACTGAGAATGTCATCCAGCAGAATCCATATACTGTTATTCTGATGACTCATCACTTGTGAAATGAGTTCCTGATCATCAGGACTGAGGTATATCCTATGTCAGCTTCTGTAACTTATTATGCACCTATAGAAGGCCTACAAGTCTTGTTTAATTTCTACATCGAAAGAAAGGAAGGGAAAAGGAGAGAAGCATTCTACCTTGCATGCAATGATCTTTCCGATTTGAACATTTGCCCTGCTCTGCAGATAAAAACTGCCCTAGTTACACTGAGAACTGATTTATACCAGATGAAGATTTGGTCAGCTATTTTTAAAGTGAGGTATTAATAGAGTGATGCCATAAAAATATCCACAAATGCTGTTCCAAGTGATCAAAGATACTGCAGCAATTCCATGGCGGCAGCAATGACCAGTGAACAAAACTGCAATGATTTTTATAACTACTGCTGTAGTGGCTATGGGACCTAATTTATAAGCCATATTGTATACTCTACAGAAGAGTGTGGGGCTGAATAAAGGTCGAATGGTTCCCAACTCAGTAGTTTTAAAACTGCTGACAGTAACCTTAGCTTTGCATCTAAATTGGCTATGAATGGGTGCCTTGGTTCAGGGCAACTTCAGCTACAGCTTCCCTTTTAAACTTCCCTCCTTCAGAATGTGGTCAAGTTAATGAAGAGATCTGTTCCTCCTTCTGTTTAGCCATCAAGGGGCAGTGTGAAGATGATCTGGACTATATGACCAAATTTGCTATGTGGTGTGAAAAAAAAAAAAAATTTCAACCTTCTCTCAAAAGGCAGTTGGCTGTATAAGCTTGAAGGATGCATTAAGTGTGGCAATACCTAAGTTAGCAACCTTGCAGCCATGCTGCAGAAAGAAACAAACTGCAGAGAAAGATGAAACAAGTTCCTTATTCTGGGCCAACTAGGAGTGAAAGGATAAATAGTATGTAAACCTTTTCTCCCTACAAAA